AGCAACCTGTGATATGCAGATGACACAACCTTACTTGCTGAAAGCAAAGAAGGGTATGAAGCACTTGTTGATGAAGATCAAGGATTGCAGTCATCAGTATGAATTACAACTCAAGGTAAAGAAGACCAAAATCCTTACAACTGGGATTGCATCTTGCTTAGACCCACTGTTAATATTCATGGAAACAGTAATCAAGATATCAAGACATATCGCACTGGATAAATCTGCTACATAAGACCTCTATACAGTGTTGAAAAGCAAGGAGATTACTTTGAGCACCAAACCATGATATTTCTAATCACCTTGTGTGCTTGTGGAAGTTGGACATTCATTGAGGTAGACTGAAGAAGAATTGATGCATTTGAATTATACTACTAGCAAAGAATATTGAAAGTATCGTAGACTGCCAAAAGAACAAACATTGTCTTAGAAGAAGTATAGCCAGAATACTCCTTAGAGGCAAGGATGGCCAAGACTTCATCTCACATACACAAGGGTACAAAAAGCCCCTGGGAATGATGCTGGGCAGAGTGGAGCTTTCGTAGTACACATTTTTACTGCCAGGTGAGCATCGAGTAATGCACTCTGAGTTAGTGCACCTGGTGGTATCACCTGGGAAGGTTCTCTCTGGTCACAGTGAATTATTTTCATAAGAGGCGTTTCACTCGAACCTCATTTTTTGTGATGGATAATTTCAGAGAACAGTGTGTGGCTGTGAAATTTTGTTTCCTGCTTGGGAAAAATGCCACAGAAACTGTTGTGGTGTTGAACACAGTTTACAAGGACAGCACTATGGGGAAAACCCAAGTGTATGAGTGGTTTTCTCATTTCAAAAAAGGTGAAATGTCAACTGGAGTTCCTTTCACCAGGTCAGACTGTTAATCAAGCTTTCTATTTAGAAGTTCTGAAAAGATTGCATAACAGTATGCCACAAAAGCCTGATTTGTGGCAGACGTGGGACTGGTTTTGCCACCATAACAATGCACCTGCTCACACAGCCATCTCAGTGTGCCAGTTTTTGCCAAAAAAAAAAACCAGCATGCCTCTCTTGGCCCCCACACATTACTCACCTGTCCTTGCTCCATGTGACTTCTGTTTCTGCAAATGAAGAGGAACGTGAAAGGACAGCAATGGACGACATAGAAGAGGTGAAGAAAAAATAAAAGGGAGGTGCTGTCAGCCATCCAAACAGGTGAATGTGAAAAATGTTTCCAAGAATGGAATAGTAGATTTAACAAATGTATTAAGTTTCATGGAGAGTACTTGGAAGGTGATATGGTTGTTTTGTAAAAATAATAATAATGATTAAATACATAGCTTTGAAAAATACGTGTTATCAGGAAAGAACAGCCCCTGAAGAAGGACATCATGTGTGGTAAAGCGGAAGGGCAGCAAAGAAGAAAAAGGCCCCCAAGAATATGGATGAAAGGTGGCTGAGAACCAGGCAATGTTTCATTCTGTTGCACACAGAGGGGCTGTGAGTCAGAACCAAGTCAATGGCCCCTAACAAGAACGACGACGATAAACAACTTTGTGATGTGGGTTCCTGAAACTATTTGTGTCATGATTTAGAGACCTAAAACTACTTAGGTTACTGACACGATTAGCACCGGATTGTTCCCAGTGTTAAAGGGGCAGGAGGAAGCATTCACACAGCATCTGGCTGTGGTTCCAGCCTGGCCACACACCGAGAAGTTCTAAGCAAGGCGACCAGAGGACACACTGGGAGCACCCACCCGGTTGAAACACAGCCACTTCAGAGCCTTAGGGGCCCTCCATGCACAGTTCATACCCCCCAAGAACTCAAACGCGAGTAAGAAAGAGAATTATCAAGAAGGGAAGAAGGTAGGAGAAGTAGGACAGGTGGGAGGTCTGCTCAGACAGGAAGCAGCTGTGCAGCAGAAACTTCCCAAGGGGTGAGCAGGTCTCCGGGGACTGGCAGCCTCCCTCCTCCACTCCCCTTCCCTGCCAGGAAGACAGGCTCCATGTGGAACCCAGGGGCAGTGCTAAAAGGCCGGCGCAGTTGGATTTGTTTTGTCCAAAGGCCGCCGCTGTGTTGCTGGAGCAGCCCTGGATATTGGGATTTTTAAGAGCCAAGTCTTCATCAAAAGGGCAAGGCTGAGCCATTAGCACAGAAATGATTGCCTAGCTGAGGACACGTCAATCTACTGCTTCCAGGTGCTGGGTTTCAAGCTCTGCTCAAATACGTCACCGCCAAATGTGCTGCCAGCTAGTCCCTAAAAGCCAAGTCTAAGAAGATAAGGCGTAAACTCATCTATAGGAGCATTCGCATTCAGAATGCATTCAGAAGATCACTTCCCCCGTCCCCCTAATGACAGGAGTCTCTGGGCGGCGCACATGGCTAAGCAGTCGACTGCTAACTAAAAGGTCGGTGGTTCGAGTTTACCTAGAGGCGCTTCAGGGGAAGGCCTGGAGGTCTGTTTCCATGCATCAGAACCAAGGAAAACCTCTCCAGAGCAAAACTCCTCGTGATCTATGGGGTTGCAGGAATGGGAATCCACGACAACTGGGGTTTGGGCCCCTGGACTGAAGCCCAGGGGGAGAGTTCCAAGGAATATAATGTCCTGTCACCTCTGTACCCCTGACCCGCTCCCTGCTTCTTCTCTGTAGCTGGGTCTCTGCAGGGTAGCAGCAGGTCGGCCCTGCATCTGAAACAGAACAGTTCTGGCCGCGCCCAGGCCAGGGCCCTGCAGATTCTGATTCTGCCCCCAGCTAGTCTGTCAAGTCCGTTTGGATCCACCTCTTTCTCAGGGCTGTAATGAATTGCTGGCTGGTTCAAATTCCTGCTCTTCATCCATTAAGGTAGGTTATTGGATGCCATGTTCTCTAGGTTGCGTTCAGAACGCAGGGTTCTGTATTTATTGCACCAGTCGTTGATGGTATCTGTCATTTGTTTCTAGAGACTCTGCACTTTTGCATTCTGGCTTCTTGGGGCTCCTGTCACTGTTGGCAGGTGTAATAGTGAAGGGTAGTGAACACAAGTCTTCTGTTCAGGGTCTTGTAAGGAGTTGAAGGATCCCTGGATGTGTTCGTCTGGGTAGACTAGAGAGAAAAATCCATGGCTGCCCGTATGTGTATATGAAAGAGATTCATATACAAGAGCAATTGAACATTGAGAAAACATCCCAACCCATCCAGATCAAGTCCGTAAGTCCAACATTAGCCCATATGTCAGATACCAACCTATAAAGTCCTCTTCAGACTCACGAAACACATGCAATGACGCCAAATGTAGAAGATCACAGGCCAGGGGCTAGAAAGTCTTTGCATCCAGTGGCATTGGAAACATCTCGGCGCTTCTCCAGCTTCCAGGGCTGCATCAGGGTGGGTCCATGTGTCTTATCGGCTGCTATGTCTCCTAGGGTGTGAGCCGAGAGTCTCCCACCTCCAAGGAGGTAAATACTGGATTTTCCAGAATCCTCAGGAGAAGGCCATGCCCACACAGAGGGCTCAGTGGCTATGATTTGATTGACAGGCTAGACTCCACCCCACATTCTGAATCCTCAAAGTGACAAATGGTCATATAGCTACCACACTGGATAAATGCCTTTCCATGTCCACATAGTTGCAGCGTGCGGTCAGCCTTGGCTCTTGGCTCCTGGCTCCCCTCTCCAGCTGGCAATTGACCTGAGGCTGGTCCTGAAACAGGGTACAGCCAGACACCCAGCGCTCCCAGCAATCCTGCCTGTAGACTTCAAGTGTACTGCACCAGCCCTCTGTTGAAACTCATCTGTCACAGAGGAAGGCACCACTTTCCACTAATGGTTGACACACTGTCTTCCCATTCAGTTCTTAATGATCTCTGTCCATTCGTTGTGTTTGTATCTAAGAGAGCTGAGCTGTTCGCCACAAGGTCAGTGGTTCAAGGCCTCCGAGGGCTCCTCGGGGAGGAAAAAGGGAGGGGCACTCTCTGCTCCTGTGAAGCCTTACAGTCTCAGAAACGGACTATAGGGTCTCTCTGAGTTGAACTCGACTAGACGGCCTTGAGTTTGGTTCTGATTTTATCTTTATATCTCGACCTAACCCCAGACTGACAATGTTGGTTGATGTGAAGGAATGCTCCCCCTTATTTTGGAACAGACCTCACATGAGTAACCTCCGTGCCACGCGTGTGTTTTTTACCTGTGATTGGATACCAGGGAGTGACTGAGAGAAGCTGCAGCTGCTGCCTGGCAAAGTGATGTCCCTGGTCTCTGATCCGTGGGAAGCAACAGATACCAGACCCCACACAGCCCCTTCCAGCCAGCAGTGTCACTAGCAGAAAAGGGAGACAATACAGCCCCAAAGCCAACTCCTGACCTGCTTTGACCTGCCACATGACTAGTTCCCATCATTATGCTTGAAGGAATGGAGTGGTCCTGCAAGCAAACCAAGGCTCTCAGAGCTCTGATCGAGGGGATGCTGAGCATCTTTGTAGCCATTTGTGTGTGTGTTTCACAGAAAGAAGTAAACCCCAGATCTTAATATATGATGGACCTCAAAGGCCTGTGGACACAGTGACTAAGCATCCTGGGTCTCTCCTTTAAGTTGAGCATTATGCTTCCACACCGCCCAGTCCATTTGTGGTTGCTGTGGGCTTGTCTGTGGGCACAAAGTGTCCGTGAGAACTTGCACAGGTGATCTGAGCACAAGGAGGCTCCTGGGGAATGTGGATCTCCACAGAACTCTCACGTCTCTGACATGCTGGCGAGAGGGGCAGTGCCGCACAGCCTGGGACTGCACCTGAGTGCGTGAAGAACCGTTAGGTACCGAGAAACGGTGCCGCTGTTCCTGAAGCAGGGTGTAGTGTTGAAAGTGAGAACTGAGGAGGGAGACGTACGTGCAACCATGGGCCCAGGGCCTGGGGATGACCAACAGGGAGAACCTTCTCCGTGGAGAAGGGCATCTGAGACATCCTGGGAAAGGGTCCTGGCCCATCAGTGCGTGAGGCCAGCATGTGGGTGGCAGCAGCATTTCTAACTGGGTTTCTTGGTTCCCAGGCAACGTCCTGCCCTTGGAGAGTGCCTGGCCTCGCTGGCAGCAGCCATACCCGTGGCATTCTTGGAGCCTGCCCTGAACCGCTACAATCCGCTCTCTGTCTTCAACACCAAAACCCCAAGAGAGAGGTCGCGTAAGTATCCTCCCCTAGAGGTCGTCACCCCATTCCTCATGCTGACAGGAAGGCCACGCAGGCCGGGAGCAGCAACCTTTCAGCCCCGTTAGTTTACCTGGACCAAGAGAGGCCAGGACACCAGAGTTAGAGACTGGGTTGTATGCTTCTGTCTCCCTGGAGAAGTGGCCACAGCAAGAACTTTGCTAGCATTCAGATGTAGTTTCTTCGCTGAAACCAAGGGCGCAAGCAGAAAGCAAATGTTTCGAGAAGGATGGTGGCAACAAATGTAAAAATGTGCTT